TGGGCTACTCGCTTACCAACGGCTGGTTAGTGTGACGAAGATTCGAACCCGCGACCCTCAGTTTGCGCCTTAACCCCCTGGCCATGCCGAGCCCCACCAGTGTCTATAGAAAATAAAGAGTAGCAAAAAGAAATAATTATATCAGATCTTGGAAATTATTCAAACGAAGTAGAACGTCAGGCTGTTGTATAAAACTTATTTTAATTCTAGGTTGAAATTTTGCTCTAATTATATGCTAAATAATATTTTTGATTGTTCGAAAAATCTTAATTTAGTTTCAAATAGAAAAAAAAAACGTATATTCGAAGCAACAGAGGAAAAACTGCATCAAATAATATGATTTTCAAATACTTGATAACTTTATCTCATTAACAGAATACAATTTTCATTTGAATTCAATGTATATGGTATCGCTTCAAGTAAAATGGCGGAAAACTTTACTTATATAGCTAGATATGCATTGACATAAAGAAATGATACACTTATGGGATTAAATAAACCAGATCTAGTCTTATTCTTAGTGAAAAATAATGGTTGAAATATTTATACAAATGTTCAACGTTCATATATTTTCAGTGTTACACTGCTGTAAGTCTTACGAACAGTGCACTGCCGAGTTCATCTATCATTCTGAAGTTACACTTGTAAGCAAAGAGATTACATGCAATCCAACCACCTCTCGTCAGTTTCAATTAAACCTGAACCGATCGAATAGTTTAATTATTTGTGCGAGGTTTAATTATATGTCGCCTACAGCTGTGCTGTAATCAAATTTTCGGTTAATTTCTTAAATCTAAATTCATCCAATATGCACTGTTTATGCGAAAGTAGTCCTCACGAAGGCATACCGTGTTTTATCAAAGATAAACCCCATAAGCGTCTATGAAGAAGGGGTTGTTCTGATGGTGTATCATCACATTTGTTTACCTTGACTTCAATTAACGTTGACATACCTTTACAGAATGTGCAATAATTTCTAATTAACTTGTTGTTGACGTTCATAAGTATTTAATATTGTAGAGTCTTAGCTAAAGAAAATATTACATAATATAAATAAAGATGTTTGGAATACTCTTACAAAAGAATAGCATCACATTCTTCATAGAGAAGACTGAAGAGAAACCCCAACACACAGTCTAAGAAAGCTGTTTTAGTGTTCACAGCTGAAGAAAACTGAAATATATCATTATATTCTAGTAATGACGTAATCAAAACAGAGCACATAGTTCAGAAAGCGCAGGAACACAACTGTCATTCTAAAAAAAAAAGAAAAAGAAAACTAACTGTACATTTACATTTTGATCATGTACACTTTTATTGAGTTGATTTCCCTCTGCTTTGGCAGATTGACTTTATTTTACAGTACAAAGGCCGCCCAGTTACCCTTACAATTTACCCTTTATATTAAAATTTAATGTATACTGAATATAATACCATTATTAGCCAATCACTACACAAAACATTGAATATTCGCTGTGCATCATTTGATTTCAGTTTAGCAAGTTCTTAGACGAGATCTTCAGGATGCCAAAGAAATGGTAGGATTAGCACTTTGGCCCTCCAGTCTCTCACGTTATAAGTAAAGCAGCGGCTACTTTAAACATATTTATTGCATCAGATGTAAAACTGAGTTTTACCAATTACCTTACTCTGATTAGGGTAATTACGCTAAAAGTGGGATTCCGCACTGATCATGTGATTGAGTTAAAAACTGACTTCGTTTTACAACAAGTAAAATGCAAAGTCGATTCAGTTAGAAAAAAAAAACGCTTAAAACTTCTCAACATGTTTCTAACGTTTTAAGGCTTAAATATCCTCGGCAGATATATCATCAAAGAAATAAATCCTTTAAATTTTCAATAATGGTTATGTTCTGGAGAACTACAATGGCTCATTTATCAAACCAAGGATCACGCTTAGCTTCTGAATTGTAAGTTTTTCTTATTTTATTGCTTTACTTTAGACGCTAAAAAAAAAGAAAAAAAGAACTTTTTCAACGTGTACCGAGAATAGAACCAAAGGGCTCTGAGGTCTCTTTCGTTCAATAAATCTCTAGAACTTAGTAGAAGTAGAATAAGTTGTACAAGTCTTACGTAGATTATAGGCTAACACTGTAACAGTTATTACGGCTCAACGAATGAACTAAGTTTTAGTAGAACACTGCTTCTCATAGACCGAACGTATGTTCACTTACTAATCTAGATTAAGTGTAAGAAAGATCATTTTAACCCTATGATTTTAACCCTAACCCTACAGTTCACTTTTTCGTCTAAATCTGCTTGAATGTTTGCAATGTAACAATAAATTAGCTGCTTCAGTGTTCAAATTAGCGGGCATGTTGAATAAAATCGTATTAGTATATATACATATTCTTCTTCTTCTTTTTTTTTTTCAATTTAAAAGCCAAGTGGTAGTAAACGAGTTTATAAGTCTCATTTTATTTACATTGACAGTAACTCGCGACCGCATGAACAACAGATAAGTTGACAAGTATAAAAGTGTAACAAAATCCTATGGCCTTACCTCGATTTAGTAAACAGCTGAACGTTGCAGACTGGTGATATCTTCCTTTGTATGCAATGTCGTCAGCAGACAGTTTAAACTTGGAAATTTTCAGAAGTTGGTTGGACAGTGTACAGAGAATGCAACACACGACACTGCCTGGTCTCTATACGTTCAACCGTTGCCACGATTCCAACCCATCTGATCATACGATTGCTTGGCACTGACAGCTTGTTTGTCGCGATAAAGGAGGCACTGCCCTCTAGTGGCAATAAGATGCATTTCTCGAATAATTGACGTAATATGATGCGTATAATGTCAAGACGAACGAATATGCTCCTATACTGGTTAAAAAAAATTAAGGAAGAAAAGTTTTCTAACAGACGTATTGGTAATTAAATCTAATGTAAGAATCCTGGGTGTCTATAATAAATACCTTTCTACACATTTAAATATATAAATTTGAGACGAATATAAGATTCATATTCACACCCAAAATAAATAATAATAACAAACTATTGAGTAAACTAATGCTGATCTTTGGATCGATAAGATAGACCACGAGTATGATTTTCCTTTTGTGTGAAACCTTCTTTATCCCCAAGTGACAAGAGAGCAAAAAGTTATACTCTGATAAACGACAAAGATAATTGTTTCTGAAGGCGATATATTTATTGTACACTTCGCGCATCGCGCACTGGGATCTCCTTGGAAAAACTACAGCCTGAATGTGCTATGAAACGTAACCAACATAAGGTTATACAGCATACGTAATAACACGAACACAGACACTCTACTGAATTAGCAAGGTAAACATATTTCATAATATTTTAAATGTAGTTTAGTAGACTAGATGTTAATTATAGACGCTGATCAAAATAATACAAGCTCTTACTGATGTGATAGTTTTTATATTTTAAGTTTGAACATTTGAAGAACCGAGACAGTTTGTTGAATTTCGCACAAAGCTGTTTGAGGGATATCTGCGCTAGTCGTCCCGAATTTTGAAGTATTAGACTAAAGACAAGACAGCTAGTCAACGACATCCACTGCCAACTTTTGGGTACGCTTTACCAACGAATAGTGGAATTGGCTGTCACATTATAACGCTTCAATGGTTGTAATGGTGAGCATGTGTGATGTCACAGAACCGAGAACGAACGAGGATTTCAATTAGCTAGTTGGTAAATGTATTATATTTCTGCCATTCAATTTGTTTATAAACCAGTCTGTCTGAAAACCTTTCTGCCCGTACATTCGTGACCAGTTTTATGAAGAATATATATATATATAATGTTTGAGCTTAGGGCTATTTCTCTAAATTAGACCTGTTTAGAGAAATATAACACTTGGAACGAAACACTTGAAAAAGAAAAACATTGTGACGTATAGCAGTAACGTATCGCATAGTTCTCTGTCTATGCTGTAAAAAACAGATGTTAAATTGCAGACGCATTGAACGTTTATTTTACGGTCCTTTTGAGGAAACGGCCTACTCTGTGTTTATGTTACATGTTGAAACTGGAAGAAAAAAGTGGCGTCACATTCCAAAAACTTGCTTAAGCTTAAGCAGGTTTATTTTGTAAAAAAAAAAAAAGTATAATAATAATACAGACATTCATTTACATGCATAGAATATTATTTTGAATATAATTTAAATATTTATAGATGAAATCATTCAATCTCCTGTTTTGATATTCGGACTGGTACAAACTGTGTTTGGGTATAAAGATAAAGGTGGTTGAAAAAAAAACATAAAATCTACAGCCTTTACAGTTGGTTCAGGTGTATAAAACATATGTGTTAACACATTTATGAAACCAAAAATGCCAGAGGTGGAACAACAAAGATACATTGAAACCGTACTTGCTTATCCTGGACAGATCCCCGCATGGCCAGGTGGTTAGGGCGCTCGACTCACAGTCTGAGGGTCGCGGGTTCGAATACCTGTCCCACCAAACATGCTCGCCTTTTCAGCCGTGGGGGCGTTATAATGTGACGGTCAATCCCACTATTCGTTGGTAAAAGAGTAGCCCAAGAGTTGGCGGTGGGTGGTGATGACTAGCTGCCTTTCCTCTAGTCGTATACTACTAAATTAGGGACGGCTATCGCAGATAGCCCTCGAGTATCTTTGCGCGAAATTCCAAACAAACAATAAGAATTTCATTTTATAATGTGAATTCCATATCAGAGCTCGTTCATCCATTTGGCAATTAAAATGGATGTTATAATAACCTAATATTAACACTTAAATAAAAAAATATATTCAATATACAAGAAAATACAATATTATACAAGAAAATAGAGATTTCTGTACTTGAGTAAGACGCTTTCAGCCTTAACGCCCCCAATCGGCAAACATGAAGAGATTATGGACACTTTCTCATCATTTACCATTCATACATACACCCTAACCATTTGACAAATACTTATAAGTATTCTTTAAGATATATAAAATTGCAACTTAAAAATTATCAAGTATCATTCCATAAGTCAGTATGTGTTTTTCGGGGGCAAGATCTTTCGGACTGATAGAAAAGATCCAACTCCCCTCCTTTCAGTTTTCTTCAAGCTAGTTATATTCCATCAGATGAATCCTTAGGACTATTTTAGGAAATACTCTTTTCACAACATTAAAGTTTATGGGCTCTTTCTCATCATCTACCATCCATATATACATCCTAAACACTTGGCAAGTTCTTATAAGTATTCTTAAAGGTATTTAAAAGTACAACTTTAGTTATCAAGTTTCATTTCATAAATCAATATGTTTTTTGGGTAGGGGCGAGGAGGGGGCAAGACTTGGGACTGATAGAAAATAACCAACCACCTTCAATTTTCTAAAGTTAGTTTTATTCCATCAAGAGAATCCTTAGGATCAGAGGCGCCGCTAGGAACTAATATACTGAACCCGTGATTCGAATCCCCAGTCGTTGTCTTGAAAAATCAGAATAGAAAACCATGATCGATATCATACTGAAACGCCGAAAATTCCCGCATCTATTGGTCCGAGCCCCGAATTATTTAAGTACCTAGCAACGCCTCTGCTTAGGACCATTTTAAGAAATACTCATTCTCAACACCAGAGTTTGACTAGTTTATTTGATGTATAAGCATGTCGCATGACTATTGTTTTATTCATTTCTTACCCGAGTGTTATCACAAACCGTATTTTTCCCAGACAAAGCTTAATTAAACTCATAAACGATTTTATTTGGTTTCTTAGGATCAGAACAAGCAAAGAACAATGAGGCTTTAATGAAAATTTCAAATGTATCATCAAATCTATTAAATAATTTCTTCCCATTCTGAAACTAGGTTATGGTCATGTTTATGAGATAATAAATCAAAGTGGCCAATATTTGATAATTGAAAATCGGGTGAAAAATATCTTTTGACATAATGTTTATTTTGGTACTATTTTCAAATCATTTCACGAGGTGACCTTTTTGAGCTTTCAAATCACCTTCTCCTTTAGTAGAAGTCAATCTAGAACATGAACTTAAATTCATTAAAATAATATTTAATATGTATTACAGGGATTTTGGCAAACGAGCACCGTTAAGTGATAAGCTGGTTATCTGTTTGGTAACAAATCACAATGGTCGTTAGAAACACATATATATGTAAAACTAATTTCTTTGACCATGTTATCTTGTTCAATCTTAGAAACCTATATTCTACTTTGCAGTTTCTTTATACAAAAAAGAGAAATCTGTAAGTTACTGGCTGTGTGAATATATGATACAGTTTTGTCAGTTTCAGTCAAAGTATCACTATTTTATTAGCTATTAACCAAAGTCAAAACATTAAGTGTATATTTTTTCATGTTTATTTATTTATAACACTTTCCTTCAATACTATTAACAACAATACGAATATTCATAAATAAACTCAATTCAACAATAAATATAAAGCTATCCTGGAGATAAGAAAGCAATAATTAAAAATCACTTATGATAATCAAAATATTAGCGCACAACCCCTCCTGGCGACAAGAAGAACAACTAGAATTCTATCAGCCTTACAATTATCAACCCAATATCACATACTAGAAAGAATAATGGAAATATCCATGAACACTTGCAAGTTTTTAAATCATGTAGTATTTTCATACATCTCAGTATGTTAACTGAATAAAAACTGAGTTTAGTATCTGACTACGTCACAAGTACATGACCTACAATATAATTTTCAATGTCAAAAAATTATATCTTCGATTAAACAAACATTGTGAAAATGTGTGGGATGTTTGACACTCATTAATTTATCGTGAAAATGTGTGGGATGTTTGACACTCATTAATTTATCGTGAAAATGTATGGGATGTTTGACACTAATTAATTTATCGTAAAAATGTGAGGGATGTTTGACACTAATTAATTTATCGTGAAAATGTGTGGGATATTTGACACTCTTTAATTTATCGTGAAAATGTGTGGGATGTTTGACACTAATTAATTTATCGTGAAAATGTGTGGGATATTTGACACTCATTAATTTATCGTGAAAATGTGTGGGATGTTTGACACTCATTAATTTTTATCAATTAAATCACATTTAAAGAACCTTCAAAACTCTAGCACTTTCGGCAAAAATATGTTCATTTTTGTTCTGTGGGCACAGCACAGATAGCCCATTGTGAGCTTTGCGCTTAACTACAAACAAAAGAAAGCGCTCGGACTCTAGGGTTTCTTTATTTGTGATACAACTGTTGTAATTACACGTGGTCAATGTACCTCAACATTTTCTCAATGTCGCACTCATCAAAGTTCTTACAATATGATACCCCTTCCAATTACGCTGTAACATATCTAGTGTAATGACAACAATGACGTTCTTAAAGTTTTGTTTGAGATCAAGGGCGCAATGTGTCGTAAGGGCACCGTTCTGTTGGAAATTACGTGAATCAGTAGGAGTCTTTGTTATTGACGTTATGTATGTATCATGCCCAAACTTCCCATACAGAACATGTAGCAGTGATCTCTCTGTTTTGTGGTAGCTATTCGTATTATGCACACCGTTGTAAACGTCGCCATTTGTGATGACCATTTACACTATGATGTACTTACTCTGAAATGATACCTAATTGGTCATCAGACAAAGTACGGCTTGGGGTATATTAAAGGTCAAATTGTTGTTAATTAAGAATAAGTCTAAGTATATGTATATTGTCTTTCTA